TATTTTACTGTAGAAGTAAAAGAGTGCATCATATGTCTCTTGGCCAAGAACGCCCACATGTCGCTCCTTTGCAGCAATGAAGCTGTTGTATCTACCGTTTACGAAGGTTCTCCAAGAGTCGGTCAAATCCTCAAACTAGGAAGAAATAGTCACTACAGTCAACTCTCGCTTTAYGGACACCCCGCTATTACGGACACCTCCATATTACGGACACGAAATACTGAATCCCCGGTGAAAAATACAAAGAAATGACTGAAAGTATAACTCCCGTTATTACGGACTCTCGCTACTCCGGACACTAAATTACGAGTGTGTCCGTAATAGCGAGAGTTGACTGTATTAGATTGAMTGTAGCATCTCTGCTACAGTCAACCATCCCACCTTCAGTTAGGCATAATGTTCAACCATCAAATGTCCATCCCCCAGTCATTCATCTTTCAGTCAATCACAACCACTGACTCTTACTATGCATAATGATTACAAAACTGCTATGACGCAGGCTATGATGCGATAAATACAACAGAAATCAGACTTTCACTCACAAGTCCATGTTGTACATACCACAATATTTCTATATTACACAGGTATCCAATAACACCCAACACCATACAAACCTGTATATYTGTGAACCCAGCATCCTTCATCTGTTTAATATACTCATCCTTTGAGGGGAGGTAAGGGGCATACACGTCCTCCAGTAATGATTTTATTTCAGCTGACTCAAAGTCACTTAGTTTATAGAAGTCTTCAGAATAGCTAAAATGAAATTAAACCAGAAATTTCTAGCCTGCTTTGACTAGCCAGCTGATATCCATACTGGTATGTAATTCTCATATGGAATTTCAAAAAATATTACACAGCTTACATCTTTCCACCAGGCTTGAGTAGTTTGAAGCAGTTGTTGAAGAGAGTTTTGCGATCTTCGATGTGAAGGATGACCAACCAGTTTATGAGAAAGTCAAAAGATGCATCTTTTTAACAAGGAAAACATTGTTTAGAACTATGGCTTTATTGTCAGTTGAACTGCAGGCCAAGGAGATCAAAGGAGAGAAACAGCTTACAGACCAAAATGCCATACTTTGCATAGTGCAATTTGGGAATTAAAAGGGGACATGAGGTAACAGAAACTGCTGCAACCCTAATAGACCAATCCCGCATTCGCTTGGATGAACAAGAAAAAATAACTTCATTTCGAGGCTGGAGTTTTTGACAAAAGATAAAACTCCAGCCTCGAAATGAAGCCATTGTTCCGTGTTCATCCAAGTGAATTCGGGATTGGTCTATTGCTTCCCAAACATATTCAATCACAAAATATCACCCTTTACCTTGCAAATCAGTCTTTAATATATCTCCACACTTATGTGTCACCAAGTCACTTAGACCACACCTTGYAGTMAGGTCCAAGCCTGTTTTGTCCAGGTCTGGCTGAAGTTCCAAAGCAAGAACTTGACATTTTGTTTGAGAAGCAAGAAATCRKGCAGGACCACCAATGCCAGATCCAAAATCAAGTACTTTATGTGAGGAACTAATATAATAGATTATATGAAAAATATGGAACTTAGTTTGAAATGCGAATACAGCCTACTACTGGAAAAGAGGCCGGAAAAAATATCTGACTTTGACTTTTTTTTTCGGCTTCTTTTCCAGTAGTAGGCTGCATTCGCATTTCAATTTATTCTCTCCAACTACTGAAGGACATACATATATATATGGAACTTAGTTCTGGCATATTAATAACCAGCCAAGAAACAAAGCTTTTGGAGAGAACATAAAAACTAATAATCATTGAAATAACATTAATGATAACCTTAATCCAAGCCTTTTGATGCATTCCATCACAGCACTCGTTCCATAATAGTGATATTCATCAAATTTAGATACATCTTCAACTTTCAATGGGTCAGTCATACTATACCCAAGCTGTAAAATGATAAAATATTGTAAAGGTTGATTTAGATGACACAACTTTTGCTTACAACCATCACATGCAACCTGCTTAAGTCATCTTTACAAAATAGTTACAACTGTTGTTTTAAACAGTGATTTATAGCTCCACAACAGTTGTAGCCATGTTGTAAGAATGACTTTCGCAGATCGCATGCCATAGCTGTAGGCAAAAGTTGTGTCGTCTTATTCAGGATCAAAATACATTATTTGTAAGGTCACCAGGGGGGGTACTATGCCTCCAACTTGGGTGGGGATGTGCTGCACAACCCTCAAAACCCTTACCCTATCCCAGACAAATTTTTGTGATTTTACATACCCTACCCCAGAATAAAGGTACAAAGGTACATTATTTTAGCGCTGAAAGCGTGGCCTAGCAGATACGATCACAGGTAAAACTCCACCCTACCCCAGACAACGATACTATACCCTATCCTAGACAAAAAAACTACACTATCCTAGACAAAACGACTATAACCCTATCCCAGACAAATGGGCAAAACATGATACCCTATCCCAGACATGGAGCTCCGAAAAAGGGACCCTATGGAGTGCCACATACCCATATAGCAAATATAAGGGAGTACCCGCCGGGTAAGGTCAAGACCTAGGATGTCACATGAATAAAATGGGGATAAGCAGGCCAGATATGGGGATGAGATTGGGAAATGCCATGTCGGACACATGTTTGCACATGTTGCACATGCTTGTAAAGCCTAGTTTCCAGTCCTAAAACAACCGTGGGGTTTTTACCCTTTTAATATATGCAAACCGCAACTCTTATTTATTTCTTGAATATAGCTGTCGCTTCCCAGATAGCAAAGTCTCTCATGTTAGTCTGCTAGCACGGAAAGTTGTTGCATGTGAAAACGACGATGACTTCACACAATATTGAACATACCTCTTTCAATTCTTTATAAATTCTTTCAACATCATGATCTACAAATTGTAACATAATATATCAGTTACAATAGCCAACGCGACTTTCCGAACAACCAACAATCTTTCGAGCAGTCGCTCGATAAGACGTGCATAAAATCCATTTTCAAATGCAATAWACAGCTCAAAACTAATCTGGGTGAACATTTTAAATTTAAAATATAAAKAAGTTAAGTCAAAAGCTTGAAAAAGGAATTAAAAAGGCGCAAAAAATTTGTTTACATTCCGTCTTCGATCGTCTCAAGTGAGCTAGGGGTGCAAACGGGTGTGTGCAAGACCACTCAACTATAGCTTACATAGTTTCATCGTCTTGATCTCTTGTTCTGCCTCCATGATAACCAAAAAACCGTCCGATTTCTTCGGCAATAAGAGTAAGTACACAAGAAGGAATGTTGTTGTTGTAGTAGCTAGACGACTGACCACTACCTCGTATCTCTTTTTCTACCCCACCACACCAGGCTTCTGCCCACCAAGAATAAACACAACAGGCAGCCCAACGTCCACAAAAAGAATCACGCAACACACTTCGATTTTTCAAGGTAATTTTTTTTAATAATTATTTATACCTATCAATGAAGTTTGCAAAAAGATGGTTGGTGATTCAGAAACTTTTGTTTTGCGTGATCGATAAGATAATTGTCGTTAATTATGGGTTTCCTGTGGAAATGTCACAGGGATCCCGATTTGAAAACCTTGATCTTTGCACTTTGCAGCCATCTTTGGACATTGAACGATCGCKAAGGGAAACATGAAGGTAAGAAAGATGATTTCTCCTCACATTAAGAATTATTAGGCTTAAAAGACAGTTATAAGACAGTTATCATTTGATTGAGACATGTTAAATGTTAAGAAAAACGTTTTTTAGAGTTCGTTAGATCACTAAGAATGAATTTTATGGAAAGCATGTGTCGCAATGTGACAGCTGAGCGCTAATCAAGATAAAATTACATGGACCGCGTTTGATTTTGACGATTGATTGAATATAACTAAGACTTGATTCCTTTTTTTCCCTACACAGCTTTCTGTAATTAACGCTAAAAGTCTCAAAGAATTGCTCAGTCTAGAGGTAAGCTTATGTTACTGTACTTAAGGTACTTGGGGAGAGGGGGGAAGCTGCCCAACCTCTGAATTGGTATGTCTGTCTGCATAAATACCACAATGTTGCACATCTGCAGTAGATTGTATAGACCATGCGTATAGACCATGCGTAGTTAAACAGCACTAGACCCTGCATACTAGTGGTTAACTTACGTACAAATGCATGCAATGTCCTGCATATATGGAGTTATGGGTATTTTAATGCTTGCTGTTTCTATATAAATAGGTCACTCAAGAGACAACAATCGGAAATCTTAAAGAGAAAATCTATCAGATCAGTAAGTTTACAAATATTGTATCTAATTTAAAATAATATAGATCAATGTACAATCTCTTACAGAGAATAATATTTACAAATTTCAGATTTTGGGACTGGGCTTCATGTGTCCCATAATAATGCTGAATTTTCACGTTGACACCACAGGAAGGCCAAATAGCAAACTGTCATTTTGTACTAGGGTTGCATAACATGTATAATGTTGGGAATAATTTATTTTATTAATTTTTATTTACAGAAACGAAGCTTTATCCAAGCAGACAGTCTCTGAGACTTGAGACAAGTAAGACCAGTCTTATATAAAAGTTAAAGTATATATTTATTTGATTTTGTTTAGTGTGTTATATTTTGTGTGTTATGATCCATCATATTTCTTTTAATTTGAATTTTAGGAGGAAAGTCTTTAAATGACAGTGAAACTCTAAAATCTGTTGGAATCACTGAAGATGAGGCACAGATTTATTTAAAGGATTTAGGTAAAGGTTTGCAAAGTACAAAATAAAAGAAGGTGCTTAGAAATTCAGTAAAACTCATTTTGTTTTCTTTTTTGTTATCTTTGTAGGTCCTCAGATTGGTTGGACTACAGTTAGTATTCACTTCATTTTAATTTGTTGAAGTCCACTGAATACTACTAAATGATAAATGGAGGATATTACATGGGTGCATGGAGATACGGATTTTATCTTCGAGTGTTGAAAAGATCTCTCACGAGTGAGCATAGCGAACGAGTGAGAGATTTTCAGCACGAGAAGATAAAATTCGTATCTCAAAGCGACCATGTAATATTCTGTTTATCATATAATTAAATATGAAAGCAAATTATGTCGGAAATATCTTTTTTCTTACTTCCACTATATAGAGAAACCTCGAATGTGTTATTTTCACTAGTGAAAATATCAATTTTACGTCATGGAGAAATATAGGTATTTCATAGATAATTAAATGATAAATTATTATTATTATTCAAATAATAACTATTTAGTGTAGTCCTGCTAATTACATGTAGCATAGTTGCTGTATCACAGTCCAAAGAACATTACTCTAGGAAGCAAAGAAATTTATAGTATGATTTAATGAATTAAGCACTGTTTTGTATTATTTTCCAATTTACCAATAGGTGTTCCTGTTCGAGTATAGTGGTCCAATAGTTTTGTATCTTTTATTATACACACGCCCTGCTCTAGTGTATGGAGCAAACGCAAGTAGTCAACCCATGGCAAAAGTTGTACAGTGAGTATAAAATTTGACCCCTTCATGAGTAAAAAAAATGATTAAATTGCAAAAGAGAGAAACAATAATATAACTACTGTAAAGTTATAAATGTTGCCTCAATTAGATCTAAAATTTAGCAACTAAGCTATATGAATTTTAGAAACATGGAAAGGATATTCCTTGTGTTTACATTACATCAAGGGAGCATTATCTAGTGGAGCGACTTAGAGAGACTGTTCTCCTCTACTCAGTTTGAATCCATGTGTTTTGTCCTGCGTTTTTTTTTTGGTACCCCCTCCTTCCCTAGTGTGGGCACTAAGGCTGCAGTGAAAAATGTACTCAATGCACCACTAATTATTAGTATATTATTTGTTATAATTGCAGCATTGCGGCGGCATGCTGGGCATTGCACTTTGGTAAAAGACTTTTAGAGACTTTGTTTGTCCACCGTTTCTCAAAGGGCACCATGCCATTGTTTAACCTTTTCAAGGTAAATGACAACATATGAAACCATTTGTTTAATACGCCTGAATATGGCTCATAATTTAACCAGACACATAGATATGACACTTACATATTGATGGATAATCACAGTTGAAAAATTAATGTCATTAAATCTAACAGTGCACTGGACTTTAAATAAGAATGACTGGTATGCTTCTTTTCTTTCTCTAATATTAATTTTTGTCTCCTTCTCTCTTGCAGAATTGTAGCCATTACTGGTGAGTTATTCATTTAGGTTGTATATTTTTAACCAAAGCTGAGGATTACAGTGTAGTAATGACAGTATTGTGCTTATGTACTGCAAGAAACCTCTGATTACTTTGTAATTCATCTTTCAGGGGATTTGGTGTTCTTGTTGGATATTTTGTCAACCATCCACTGTATACTCCACCAAGTACGATTTCAACATTTTGTTAATAGGGGGAGGAAATAAGCAAGGAACCTTGTATGACAGTCTGTGCTTTTAGCTGTCCTTGGTGTGGGTTTCCTGTGCTTTTGGATGTGGTCAGCAAGACCAACATTAATGTAGACCCCAAAGAAGAGTAGATTTTATTGACTTATCCTTTATATTTCAGTGTATGGAGATATTCAAATTTATGCTGGGTTGGCTGGATTTATTGTAAGAGAGTATTTTGCTTATTTTAGATTATCTTTTGCAGATTTTATGTGGTTTGTGTTATTTCATATCATTAACATTGTTTTATCATCAGTTCAATGAATATGGTAACTTTGTAATCCACTGTGCTCTAAGGGACCTTAGATCACCAGGTTTGTTTTTATATATCATACAAATAATAATTTGATTCATAGATTGGTTTGTACATGTATATTTCCTCTATTTGTTCTTACAGTTGCTCCATTTCATTATAGACCTTTTCTGAAATACAAAATCATGGTGCATTGTGGTCTACCTTCAGAACAAACACCATATTTGTCAGCATGAACAAAAGATGTTTGTACCAAATCTAGACCACAATGCAAACTGGTACAATCTCAGAAAAGGCCTATGACATCACAATATTTTTACATAATGACAGGTAATGGTAACACTGACTATTCTTATTTAAACATATTTTCCTAACAAAAACACATATTGCTTTTTTAGGCACAACTGAGCGCAGGATTCCACATACCAATAGCAACCCCATGACACAAGCTTTCAAGTTCGTCTCTTGTCCAAATTACACGTATGAGGTACAGTAGAAACTTAGCATTTTATATTACCATCATTACCCATAATTATTATAATGTACATGTAACTTTATCACAATTACACTAACTTGCAAAAGCATGTCTGAGAAAACAAGCAAATTGAAATTTACTAAAGGAAGCATTCAGATCCACTACTCTTCTTTAATGAAATTGTATGTTCCCAAATCTGTAATTGTCAGAACAATGTCTTTGTAATTATGTGATATTATTATAAATTATAAACTTATTGTGTTGGTGTCTTAAGGTTGGAGCTTGGATCTGCTTCACAGTCATGACTCAAACACTGTCAGGTTAGTCTTAAAATGACTTTTGAACAGGAGATATGATAGGGGTTATTCATTGAGCAGAGCATTTTCCACCAGTCTCTGCAAAGAAGAAGAAATGGGGTGGAAATATCCATTTTCTTGCAGGATAGGGAGGGGTTGGAATGCAAATTGGTTCCAGTTAAGTTGATGTTTGTAAATTCAAAATGATTTTTCTCCTTCAGCTGCTTTCTTTACATTTGCTGGTTTTTACCAAATGGCTATCTGGGCAGAAGGCAAACACCGCAACTACAAGAAGGAATTCAAAGACTATCCAAGACAACGTAAAGCTATCCTTCCCTTTGTACTCTAACATTACATGTAAGATAAAGTATGATTCTCTGAAAATCCATGTTACACACTGTAAGATGTACAATGATTTGCGTGTATTTGAAAACCATTCTGACTCAATGTTCTGGTTTTGCCAATGTCATTTTAATCCACAAAGTGTGAAATAAAATCCAAAAAATATATTTAGTATGTTTGGATGAGTTAAATGTACATGCAGTCAATCAAGATGAGGAAACACTGCTCAAGTTCATTATTTGCAGTACAGTATAAATGATTTCTTTGCACAATTTTTATATCTTTGCATGTCCTTATTACCTCTAGTTTTGAAAGGGTGTTTGGACAAGTAAAAATGTAGGAGG